GGGTTTCTCCATGTTGTTCAGGTTAGTCTCAAACTCCTGACCTCAGGCGATCCATCTGCCTCGGCCTCCCAAAGTGCTAGGATTACAGGCATGAGCCACGCCTGGCCTGTTTTTTTGTTTTTTAATGCATCTCTGACGTGGTCTCAGAAAGAGTCCAGTGATGGATAGGCTACCAGAAATGTGTATGGGTAGCGTCTGTGACTTGTAAACATTGGTTTCTGTCATCTTAATTTGTCATAGAATTATCATTTTTAATGTATTTTTGTTTATTAATGAGGCAAACTTCTAAGCATAGAGTTTTAAATACCATTTTTATTTGCTCTTGTGTGAATTTTCTGACTGCTTGGATAATGAAGGAAGATGGATAGCCATCAAAAATTGATAAAGACCGGGCATGGTGGCTCACACCTATAATCCCAGGGCTTTAGGAGGCCAACACAGGAGGAATCACTTGAGGCCAGGACTTCAAGAGCAGCCTGGAGTGAGACCCCATCTTTACAAAAGTTAAAGAATCACCAGGGCATGGTGGCGCACACCTTCAGTTTCAGCTACTCCGAGCTGCGGCAGGAAGATCGCTCTTGCCCAGGAGTTTGAGGCCGAAGTGAGCCGTGATGGCGTCACTGCACTTTAGCCTGAGTGAAGGAGCAATACCCTGTCTCAAAACAAAACAAAAAAAGGCCAGGTGCAGTGGCTCACACCTATAATCCCAGCACTTTGGGAGGCTGAGGCAGACAGATTACTTGATCCCAGGAGTTCAAGACTAGCCTGAGCAACATGGCAAAACCTCATCTCTACAAAAAACAACAACAACAAAAAGAAAATTAGCTAGGTTTTGTGGCGTATACCTGTAGTGCCAGCTACTAGGGAGGCTAAGGGGAGAGGATCACCTGAGCCCAGGAGGTTGAGGCTTCAGTGAGCCGTGATCACACCACTGAACTCCAGAGTGGGTGGCAGTGAGACTCTACCTAAAAAATTAATTTTTTTAAAATTTTAATTAAAAAAAATCAAATACACTTCCTCTCCAACTTTGTTCTTTGTTCTCATTTGCATCTCATTTTTCTCTGGCCCTCCCTAGGCCAGATTCTACTCTAACGTTGACCTCCAGCAGAAACCCCTCTTGCTGATACTATGTTTCAGTCGGAGGGATGAAGGCTTTGGAGGCCCAGCGGGGGGCTGTGGATTTGTCTTTGGGCTCCAATTTTTTTTTATCTTTCCAAGTAATACTCAACTTTTTTGCATAACAAGAATTTTATTTAATAATATTAATAATAGATAATACTTTACATAGCATTTACACTAAGCCAAGCTCACCATATAAGTCATTCAATCCTCATGACACCCTAAAGGAAAGGATATGTAATACCCATTTAACAGATGAGAAACTGAGATGGAGAGAGGTTTAGTAACTTGTGTTGGGTCTTTTTGGGATTTAAATCCGGTCAGTCGTTAGGGTTTATACATTTATACACTTAATCCTTGCTCTATGGAGAGAACAGAAAAATTTTAAATCAGATTGCATTAGGTTTGTAGCAATATACCAGACTTTCTAGATGTTTTCTTGAAAAAAGATTATTCTTGCGATGGTGCACTGTTTTCCAGAAGATTCTCCAAATTCAGAACGGGACTTGGAAAAGCTGGGGGGAAAGTCGCCCCCTCCTCCTCCCCCACCTCCTCGGCGAAGTTACCTGCCAGGATCGGGGCTCACCACCACGAGGTCAGGCGATGTGGTCTACACCGGCAGAAAGGAGAACATCACCGCTAAGGTCTGATAGGCCAAGCCCTGGTAAACTGGCCTCTGGGTTCAGATGATACCCTTAGACAAGGTTCTCTCTGTTAGAACATAAAAAGTAGTGAGGCAGAGAAGTAGCAACTCGGCCATACCAGATCCCCAGGAAGCACACAGATGGGAAAATGGCAGCCAGAGTGATCGGACTAGACCCAGACCATGAAGGAATTTATCCTTATTTGACTTTTACCTGCAACAATGTGAAAGGGAATCACAAGCTATTTCCCATGTGGGCATCCTAAGATTGGAAATGGGGGTAGAAGGGAGAAGCAAAGGAAAGGTTGTCTTCCAAAGGTAACTGCAGTGAGCCACACCGCTGCAGGAGTCTATACAGAAAGATGTTCAGTGAGCTTTAGATTCTACCTAATGAGCCAAGTGTTAGCTTTTATGTTAAATGTAAAACACAATTTCCAAGGTGATGGAGTATGGGCGGGCCCTTCATGAGAACTCTATTAGTCTGTTCTCATGATAGTTTATAAAGAAAAGAGGTTTAACTGACTCACACTTAGTTCCACATGGCTGGGGAGGCCTCACAATCATGGCGGAAGAGGAAGGAAGACCAGAGGGATTTCTTACATGGCAGTGGGCAAGAGAGAGTGTGTGCCAGGGAACTCTGCTTTATAAAACCATCAGATTTTGTGAGACTTGTTCACTACCACTAGAACAGCACAGGAAAGGCCTGCCCCTATGATTCAATTACCTTCCACCTGGTCCCTCCAATGACACATGGGAATTATAGGAACTATAATTTCAAATTCAAGATGAGATTTGGGTGGGGTCACAGCCAAACCATATCAAAGACACTGAATGGCGAGGAGTCACAGTAATTATTTAATTCACCAAAATGACAACTTATGCAAAGAAAAACCCAAACTAAATGAAAAGGGATAAAATAGCCTTTCAGCTATTTTTTCAGCTAAGATCTAGGAAGCCAGTGTTTGAGGCAGTGAGGGACCATGCGATCTGTTGCTTTTTTGCTAGCACTTAGGCGACATTAAGTCAATATGTGCGGTTTCAATCTCCCATAGGGAAGCAGTGAAGATGCGGGACCGAGCCCACAGACCAGAGCCATAAAATGTCCAGCAGAGGAGCCCGCTTCAGCCTGGACCTCATCCCCACCCCCTGTCACTACCTCCTCCTCAAAGGATGAGGAGGAAGAAGAAGAAGAAGGAGAAAAAATAATGGCAGAACTCCAGGTATGTGGATGAGGTGATTGACGTTGGCTCCCTGCCTTCTGCCTGGGTCTTTCCAGCCACAGCACTCTCAGATTTGTTAGTGACAGGGCCAGGGAAGTGCATGGACTGGGACCACAGAAGCTGTGTCTTCTGGCCTTGGCCTCTGCTTTCCCAAGATGGCAGTGAACAAGGCTCTCAGGATGCCTGTAAGATGTGCAAGGAATGACCATTTCACAAAACAACTCACGCTTTCCTAACCCTGGTTGGTAGGATTGACTTTCCTTTCTTTCCATCTTAAGAGATTCTGCTTCATTTCAAAAGCAAGTAAGATAAGGATTATAAACACCAGCCATTGTCCTGTGTGGATAAGGACAGACTGAAGCACACTTTGGGTGGGTTTTGTTCCTTCGCTTTACCACTTAGAACCACTGACCTTGGATCATGGACTCAAGGCCAATGACTGGCCTCCTGTGGTCCATACCAGGTCTCTGTTCAAGATCAATGTCATCTTTTCAGATATTCTGAAAAGCTGAATTAATTTGTTTTCCATTTTCCTTGGTCTATTTGAGAAATGATACTGTATTGGTTTTAGATATTTATTTTTTAACTATGACATAGTCCAGTCATAGGATGAAGAATGGGGTGCCAAGGCCATGCCCAAAACTGATCCCATAGTCCCATCATAGATGTGACTCTACCCCAGGTCTGTGTCCTGAGACCTTGTCTCACCAGAGACATGGACACAATTCCTAGAACAAACTTTGTGGAGAGTATTTTATTTGACTCGTTGCATTTTATAGGATTTTTCTGTCGATCAAACAGTTGGAACACCAGCACCTTGTGGCTGGAAAACGTGTTACCTTTTTACCAACGTACCAATGGCTTTGTGCCAACCTGTAAATTTTCCTTTTTTCTTTGGAGGAGGGAGAACTTTCAATCCATATTACTTTTACTGTACTTGTCCTTCTCTGGTTTCCATGGTAATAACTGCCAAAATTGAGCTGCCTGGATTTCGCAGGGAAAACAGATCAGTGACATGTGTGAGCCCTTTCACACCTCACTAAAACTCAGACTAGCCTTGGACATCCCCACAACCAATCAGGCTACTTGCAGGTTTTTAGAAGGCTTGGATAATCTTCTTCATAGGAACCACAGATTTATAAAGCTGGTATCTTTTAGGCTTGTGGATAAATGTTTACGCCTCTCTAAGACAAATACTAAATGTGTTGTAGCCACTTACAGCTCACCACTGAGGGACACTTTTCTCCATTGAAGCCTAAATACCTGATGCTTTCTTTGACCACTTTACAAACATTGGCATATCTAGCTTCTTGCCATATTCTTGGTGGTTAGATAATAATAGGGTGGCCTGGCACAGTGGCTCACGCCTGTAATCCCAGCACTGTGAGAGGCTGAGGCGGGTAGATCACCTGAGGTCAGGAGTTCGAGACCAGCCTGGCCAACATGGTGAAACCTCATCTCTACTAAAAATACAAAAATTAGCCAGATATCATGGTGGGTGCCTATAGCCCCAGCTACTCAGGTGACTGAGAGAGGAGAATCGCTTGAACCCAAGAGGCAGAGGTTGCAGTGAGCTGAGATCGCGCTGCTACACTCCAGCCTGGGCAACAAGAGCAAAACTCTGTCTCAAAAAAAAAAAAAGAGTAGTGAATGAAGTGCTCTAATCTTAACTTAACCGAAACCTACTAGCCCTCTGGCTGGGATGACACCCAGCCTGCTGCATCAGCAAGCCGGTCAGTGCCAGTGGCCACAAGTGATTCCCCTGTTTCTGCACCTTCTCAAGGCAGGACAAGGAGCAGCTGTGGCTCTTCTAAGGACAGTTGTAGAACCACTTCCGGTGCTCCACATCGCCAGGCATCAGAAGAAAACATAGGCTCTGAAATAGAAGGCCTAATATCCTAAAGAAAATGGCAATTGGCATTTGTAAGCAGCGCTCTAAGCAAGTGGATAAACCAAACACATCCAGGCCAAACCAGGACTGGAGTGACTAAGGAACAGCAAGGAGGCCAGGTGCAGCAGAGACATGGGAGCAAGCCGTCATGGAAAAAAAAGGCCAGAGAAAGCCCCTCATCAGCCACCTTCAGATTTTAGGACCAGTGCTGGAATGTTTACTGAAGGAGCTCATGCATTATTCTTTCTGCCTACAGAGATATCTCCAAATGACATTTGATATAAAGAAAACACTAGGCAATTATTTAGGATGATTCATTTAAATATGTGGTCTTTGCCCAGGTGCAGTGGCTCACACCTGCCACCTCAGCACTTTGGGAGGCCTAGGCAGGAGGATCGCTTGAGGTCAGCAGTTTGAGACCAGCCTGGCCAGCATGGTGAAACCCCGCCTCTACTAAAAATACAAAAAAATAAAAGTCAGCCAGGCGTGATGGTGGGTGCCTGTCATCTCAGCTGCCCAGGAGGCTGAGGCAGGAGAATTTCTTGAACCTAGGAAGCAGAGCTTGCAGTGAGCTGAGATCTCACCACTGTACTCCTGCCTGGGTGACAGGGCAAGACTCTGCCTCAAATAAATAAATAAATAAATAAGCAAGTAAGTAAGTGGTTTTTAATCCTACCTGCACATTAGATTTACTTCAGGAATTAGAAAAAAAAAATCCAAATCTCAGGGATTCTGATGTGTGTATTCTCTGAGTAGGGTCTGAATAGCAGTATTTTTTTTAACCTGGGTGATCTACAGCCTGGCTGAGAACCACTCACGTCCATAGGCTCGGGTCCCTGAGTTGCCCGTCTCTCCTTCTCTCATGATCATGTCATCTGGACATTGCCCCCATGCCTGCTTCCTTTTTAGCCCCATAGACACAGGCTGCGTCTATACTTTCTCCCTTTGTCTGACAACTGGCCTCCCTGACTTATGTTCACAAGAGCCAACTGTTGGCTCTTATAATTGGTTTTCAGAGTCAAATCTGTAGGGTTCAGGCAGCTCCTAGGCCACTTGGAATGACATCGTTGCTTAAAAGCATCACTTTATTCTAATGAGCTTCAGAACACCTCGGAGCACAGTAGTACCTGTTACTGTTTCAGAGTGGATTGGTAAAGAGTACTTTTATCGTAAGACTCAAAGGTTTAAAACACCTTGTGAGCTTTTTTCCTATAATTTCAATAAAGATCATTTTAAAAATGAGGAAGAAAAAAGAAAGAGATTTTTGTTTTATTTACATATTGAGCATTTTTAAAAGGTCATAGCAAGAAGCCCTCCTAAGCACCACTTAGGTTCACTGCAGATAGGCGGAAAAGGTAGTAATGTCTGTTTTACCCTGGCATTCCCCAAGAAAGGAAGGCAGCTGGCCAGGTACAGTGGCTCACGCCTATAATCCCAGCACTTTGGGAGGCCGAGGCGGGTGAATCACAAGGTCAGGAGATCTAGAGCATCCTGCTAACACGGTGAAACCCCGACTCTACTGAAAATACAAAAAATTAGCCAGGCATGGTGGCGGGTGCCTATAGTCCTAGCTACTTGGGAGGCTGAGGCAGGAGAATCACTTGAACCCAGGAAGCAGAGGTTGTAGTCAGCCAAGATTGCATCACTGCACTCCAGCCTGGTGACAGAATGAGACTCTGTTTAAAAATTAAAAAAGAAAGAAAGGAGGAAAGGAAGGCAGTCTTTGCCCTGGGCTCAGCCTCCAAGCCAGCTTTGCTGACATAAGAGCACTTGGGGAGTAGGATTTCAGGATGCAGCCTCCCTGGCCTAAACCTGCGTGCAGGACCCGGGCTGGAGTCCCATGCCTCTGGTTGTTCCCTGCCTGTTTTCTTCCATTCTCTTAGCACACTTGGATCACTGTTAACCTCAGTATTTTAATTCCTTAGGCATTCCAGAAGTGTTCCTTTATGGATGTAAATTCAAACAGTCATGCTGAGCCATCCCGGGCTGACAATCATGTTAAAGACGCTAGGTCGGGCGCCACAGTGCCACCCAAGGAGAAGAAGGTAACGTGGCAACTGCACTTTTGCCACACCATTGGTCACTCCTTCCTTCCTTGCTCTGACACTAACACGGCTCTTGTACTCGACCTTTGTCCCCTCTGTCTTTTTTCTCTGTCTATTTTTAACTATTGGAGACATAGGCATAGGTTATAATCAGAGATATCTTGCTCAGGTTTTCAGAGCAAACACTGTGTACCAGCCCACAGCATACAATAGCACATACAGAATTTAGACACTGTCTTTCCAAATTAAGAAGTATACACCTTTCAGTACTTTCTAGAGCAACTCTAGACAGAAATATATGGAAACAGCAACGAAGTATTTAGGAGTTTTTCTAATTCGTAACTTCCTTTGGGCAAAAAAGTAAAACAACTATCTATGTTAAAAATAGGTAAAAATCGGCCGAATGTGATGGCTTACCCCTGTAATCCCAGCATTTTGGGAGGTCCAGGCAGGTGGATAACCTGAGGTCAGGAGTTCAAGACCAGCCTTGCCAACATGGTGAAACCCTCTCTCTACTTTAAGTATGAAAAATTAGCCTACTCTGGTGCGGTGGTCCATTACTTGGGAGGCTGAGGCAGGAGAATCACTTGAACCCACAAGGCGGAGGTTGCAGTGAGCCAAGATCGCACTACTGCACTCCAACCTGGGCAATAAAAGTGAAACTCTGTGTCAAAAAATATATATATATTGGTAGAAACCTTTGATTTGGGGAAGCAAATGCATGGTAGAAAGTGTCTGCCACCACGCACAGGTGTATGTAACTTCATGGAAACATACAAATGTGTATTTGCACAAACATCTAAGGATGCCAAACAGAATTTTTGCTAAGTATTATCCATTTTTAAAGTGTACCTTCCAAAGTAGTAAATTCAGTATAGTTTTAGTGTTAAAATATATGTGTGGCTTCAAAACAGATGTCCAGGCTCTGAAACAAAGTCTGCTGACATTGTATAAGTACTCTGGGAAATGGCCCTAGCCTGAATGTTTGAAGTGAAACTTTAAATTGCATCTAGAACATTTATGATTTTTAGATATAGAGACATCTTAGTTGAATTAAGCCTCCATCTCAATTTCAGGATAAAAAGCTTGCAATGACCAATTCAAGTCCTAACATTTTTCTCCAGGGACTTATCTTTCAGATTTCAAAGATTCTAGCTTCCCTTAAATAAAGTCTAACAAATCAGATACAAGACAGCCCAAAATAGCTACTCCAGATGGGTACCTCGGTCCACGTGTGACAGCTCAAGGAGGTAGATGTAGTATCACAAAATTGAAAGGTTATTCTAATACAGCCATTCCAGAGACACAGTTTTGGGCTCATAGCTCACAGCCGAGAGGCCTTGCCAAAGAGGCCAATCCTAGGTCATAGTCACCGTGGCATCCTTGTATAAACTGTCTGCCACATAAACTGACGTATGACACCATTAACAGGGAGAAGAGAATCTCGCTCTATACCAAGGGGGGTTATTGTTGATAAATCTTTCTCATGAAGAAAACCTGGCTAGGTGTGGTGGCTCACACCTGTAATCCCAGCACTTCGAGAGGCCAAGATGGGAAAATCACTTGAGGCCAGGAGTTCAAGACCAGCCTGGACAATATAGTGAGACCTGTCTCTATTTAAAAAAAGAAAGAAAGAAAAAACCTACTACTTTGAACTGAACCCATGAAACCATGTTGGAAATATATTCTTTTTTTCAGTATGTGGAATTTCTTTATGAGGGCTTATTGAAACCAACTCATGGAAGACCTAGTGTAGCATGTTATACTTGAGCTAATGTGACCATTTCTGTCTAGAACACTGACTGAGAACCTGGAATTTCTCAAAGATCCCTCTGGAGACCATTACTGTCTCATTGTAGAATTTTTCTTTATTTTTTTAATTGAGACTGAGTCTCACTCTCTCACCCAGGCTGGAGTGCAGTGGTGTGATCTCAGTTCACTGCAACCTCCACCTCCCAAGATCAAGCGGTTCTCACACCTTAGCCTCCTGAGTAGCTGGGACTACAGGCATGCGCCACCACATCCGGCTATTTTTTTTTATATTTTTAGTAGAAATGGGGTTTCACCTTGTTGGCCAGGCTGGTCTTAAACTCCTTACCTCAGGTGATCACCAGCCTCAGCCTCCCAAACTGCTGAGATTACAAGCATGAGCCATCGCACATTTCTAATTGGCTAAAAAGTAGCATGAGATTTCTTGCCCCATAATTAGATATTCATATCCCATTGGTTTCATTTATCTCAATCGAGCATCCATTGGCTAATAAGCAGGTCTTTATTGAATGCCCAACACTGGGTTTAGTCACAGTTGCTTATTCTGGATAATTAATCTCAGTGATGAACCTACTTCAGAATGACCACAAGTATCAGACTTCTCTTATCCCCAATTTTTGGTCCTTATTAACCTCTTCCAGGGCTATGTACTTACCTTTCCATATATCAGATGTCTTCTTAAGCAATTTTTCTCCTGTCATCACCGAAACTCCAGCCTAGTTCTTCACTTGCATGCAATTTTCCTGTAACCCTGTCTCTTGTTTTGGTTTATCGTTCATATGTCTATTGAGTGCGTTTCCAATTGTCTTCATAATCCAAGTCTCAGGGCCTGTAAATACATGTTAAAGAGATGTAATTACCTTTCACACAGAGTCTTGACCATCTAAGACTAAGAAATCATTGTGAGTTTACATGACAATTATAACCAAGTTTATGCACTTGCTTTAATATATTCAGTTTTTTCTAGCCCAGTGATAAAAAGTATAGGTCGTGTGAAACCCAAACTTCACATTTTTATCCTAGTGACTTTCTATTGGAGCATTTGTGCTACTACTCAATTTTAAAATACATATATTACAGAGGGGACTTTTGAAAAAAAATTTTTTTTGAGACCAAGTCTCGCTCTGTCACTCAGGATGGAGTACAGTGGTACGATCTCAGCTCACTGCAACCTCCGCCTCCTGGATTCAAGTGATTCTCCTGCATCAGCCTCCTGAGTGGCTGGTAGAGACGGGATTTCACCATGTTGGTCAGGCTGGTCTCAAATTCCTGACCTCGTGATACTCCTGCCTCAGCCTCCCAAAGTGCTGGGATTACAGGCGTCAGCCACCACACTTAGCCTAAAATATTTAATGATGGGAATGGCATGGGCCATGACCAACCAGAACAGACACTAGCCCTAAACCCTAGTAAATGGACCCCCAAAACATCAGCCACGCATGTGTCTTTAGATCACAAGCCAATTCCATCCATGATTTAATGGGCAAGTTCCCATTTGGGTCCTAGCATGATATGCTGACTCCATATTTGGAGTTGCAACCTTAGGCTGAAACCTTATTTTTAATTTTTTTTTAATTTTTACTCATATATATTTTTATAGTCTTGCTCTTGTTCTGTCGCCCTGGAGGCTAAAGGGCAGTGACATCATCTCAGCTCACTGCAACTTCTGCCTCCCGTGTTAAAGCGATTCTCCTGCCTCAGCTTCCCACATAGTTGGGATTATAGGCGCCTGCCACCATGCCCAGCTAATTTTTGTATTTTCAGTAGAGATGGGGTTTCACCATGTTGACCAGGCTGGTCCCGAATTTCTGACCTCAAGTGATCCACCCACCTTGGCCTCCCAAAGTGCTGGAATTACAGGCGTGAGCCACTGCGCCCAGCCTATTTTTATTTTTTATGTTTGTGTGTATGTGATAGAGTCTTTGCTGTGTTGCCCAGGCGGGTCTCAAACCCCTGGACTCAAGCAATCCTCCCGCCTCAGCCTCCCCAGTAGCTGGGATTACAGGAAGCTCATTTATTTTTCTTAAGACCTTTCACTTGACATAGTCATTGTATCATATTTTGAATTTAAAATCCCACAGAAGAAGTCATGTAGTTCCACTGTAGCAGCTGAATCATTGCTCTTGTCTGGGGCCTTCCTGGGGAGCAAGCAGAAGTAAAACAGGCGGTATCTGGTGGCTCCTATACCTTGTATTTTGCACAATATTTCCGAGGGATTAATACTGACTGCGTTGTTTGTGTGTCATTCCTTGGGTGTGTATGAACAGTCTTTCCATTCTTAACCAAGGTCATAGAGTTGCTCTGGGTTGACTTTGGCTGGGTCCAGGTATTCCTGCTTTGTGTTGACATTACTTTAACCAAACAACCTTCATGGGAATTGTGCTCCGTCCTTCTGTAAACAACCACCTCAGCAAGAAGAAAGGGCAGCAGTGCCTTGGAACGGACAAGGCTTCACTAGTGTTAGTGTTATGTCAGGGCCTGAAGCTACTAATACACCCTGGGAAAGGCCAGGCTTCCAAATGAAGCACTTTGAATACCTGGGTCCTCACCACTGGGTCCTTCAGTTCTGAATCTTGGTGAGACCCTGAGAAATGTATCTTCACTCTACACTGGAAAATATAGAGAATGAAAGCTGAGTCGTGATGTCACCATCACCAATTTAACCTCAAATGCCTGCTTTGTGAATGTTTAGGTTATATTGTAACAGCATGATCAATATGAATTTAGGTTATGTTGTAACAGCATGATCAATATGAATTTGGACTTGGTCATCTTGGCCATAAGGAGTGTGAAAGTGATTTTGATACTTTGACACCTGCAGTACAAACTGCAAGGACATTTCAGTCTGTCATTTGATCACGAGAAAATGATGTTTTTCATCCCCAAATGCCAAACCCAACCAAAGGAGATGTCTTTATAGGACAATCTTCATGCTGGAAGCAGAGAGAGGACTAGCTGTAAGAGAAACTAAACTTCTCCTGGGCTTCTTTCTAAGTTTATAGGCAAAAACACCGAGGCCAGAGCAGTACAGTGACTTATCTAAAGTAACACAGTTTAGTGACAGATCCGGATTAGAATCGAAACTTTCTGCCAGCCCCTACGTTGCGCTTTTCATAATCTTTCAGGTTTTAGATTCTGCTGAGCTGACGATCTGAGGTGGAAAGAGGACATGTTGGCGGCGACTCTGCCCCTTTATTCTCTTTGCTGCTCCCCCACAACATTCTAAATGCTTGAAATATTTTGCTAATTGAGATTTTCATCTTGTGCAAACACAGGGCATTTTTGGCAGCTGGAGAACAAAGCAATCCAAGGTAAACAGCTCTAGGTTTTGGATTGGTGTGTAACAAATATGCGTGGCCCGCATGTCTTGGAAATGTAATTAAAGGAACGATTTAGTTATAGTCCAACTTTTGGGGGAGGATGTGGTTTTGTGGAGTAACATGTCCTACACTATTCTACCAGAATTTGGAATTTTTCCACGAAGATGTACGGAAATCTGATGTTGAATATGAAAATGGCCCCCAAATGGAATTCCGAAAGGTGAGTTCGGCAGATCTGTGTTCCAACCGATGCCATGCACATTAATTACCTGCCTCTGCAGATCCATTGCTGATTAATGTGTGTGGTTTCCCTCCTCCATTCTCCCTCTCAGGTTACCACAGGGGCTCTAAGACCTAGTGACCCTCCTAAGTGGGAAAGAGGAATGGAGAATAGTATTTCTGATGCATCAAGAACATCCGAATATAAAACTGAGATCATCATGAAGGAAAATTCCATATCCAATGCGAGTTTACTCAGAGACAGTAGAAACTATTCCCAGAAAAGCATGCCTAAGGTCAATTTCAGTTTCTCTGGCATTAGTTCATTAGAGGATGAAATAAACAAAGGGTCTAAAGTCTCAGGACTGCAGTACTCCATACCTGACATCGAGAACCAGAAGCTGAATTATGGAAAGGCAAAGGAGGTGGAAAAGCAAACCACAGATGCCTGTCACATTTCCTCGCCCACTAGATTAACAGAATTGAGTGGGCATGATTTTAAAACAGAAGATCAAGAGGTTGTCATGACAGATTTTGGCCAAGCTGTTCTAAGATTCAAGGGGCCAAGGCATGCTAACCTGAACCCTCATGAGGATGGAGAATCAAGTCCAAGTTCTCCCACTGAAGAAAATGCAGCCACTGACAATATTGCCTTCATGATTACCAAAACCACTGTCCAGGTTCTTTCCAGTGGGGAGGTGCATGATATCGTTAGCCAAAAGGGAGAAGACATACAGACGGTTAATATCGATGCCAGAAAAGAGATGACCCCTCCACAAGAAGGGACTGACCATGAGGAGCCAGTTGTGTGCCTGGACAAGAAACCAGTAATCATCATTTTTGACGAGCCCATGGACATCCGGTCTGCATATAAAAGACTTTCAACTATCTTTGAGGAATGTGATGAGGAATTAGAGAGAATGATGATGGAGGAAAAGATAGAGGAGGAGGAAGAGGAGGAAAATGGAGATCCTGTAGTCCAGAATAATAAGAGTTCACAGATGTCTCCTAAGAAGGTTGGCCCAGGCAATCTTAGAACAGGACAGCAGGTGGAAACGAAGTCACAGCCACACTCCTTGGCCACAGAGACCAGAATCCCAGGAGGACAGGATATGAACAGAACGGAGCTGAACAAGTTCAGCTATGCGGATTCTCCAAATTCAGAATGCAAGGGTGACGACGTGACTGATGACCAGTTTGAAAGCCCCAAGAAAAAGTTTAAATTCAAATTCCCTAAGAAGCAGCTCGCCGCTCTCACTCAAGCCATTCGCACGGGAACTAAAACAGGGAAGAAGACTTTGCAAGTGGTAGTCTATGAAGAAGAGGAAGAGGACGGCACCCTGAAACAGCACAAAGAAGCCAAGCGCTTCGAAATCACTAGTTCTCAACCTGAAGACACCCCTAAAAACATGATGAGGAGGCCAGAGCAGCCCAGCATTGAGAGTACATCTCAGATTTCAAGAACTGATGAAATTAGAAAAAATACCTACAGAACGTTGGACAGCCTGGAGCAGACCATTAAACAGCTCGAAAATACAATCAGTGAAATGAGCCCCAAAGCCCTAGTTGACACCTCATGTTCTTCCAACAGAGATTCTGTTGCAAGTTCATCCCACATAGCCCAAGAGGCCTCTCCCCGACCCTTGCTAGTTCCGGACGAAGTCCCCACTGCCCTAGAGCCCCCTACGTCGATACCTTCAGCTTCACGTAAGGTATCTTGGTCTGCTGGAAAATGAAAAGACCCAGCTGCTTTCTTAAATCTGCCATAATCACCATTAGCAAAAGGTGTCTTGTGACTTAATTGCTTTCTTTCAGGTGGCTTTTTTTTTTGTCTGTTCACCATGAAACCCTTCTTTCATACTTTCTCCCTCACCTTCAAAACAACAACAACTAGGTGTCTAACAGCTAATCGATTCTGTTTTTGCCTCTGTTGCTGACTGGTGTTGGGTAAACACGAGGCTGCTGGGTCAGCCATGTGCTGTTGAAATGATTGCTCTGATACTCACATTAAAATCCGTTTGATCAGTAGTGAGCAGTTGATTCTGTTTGATTCTTCTGATTAACCCCAGTTGGTGTCTCCTAGATCTGTCCTGCATGTAGGGCTGTGGCTTCTCACCTTGAGCTTCTCTGCACATAGTGGGGCAGCCTTACGGATGACCTACTCACGTGCTTCTCTTTCTCTTCCCCCTCTCGCTGGTCCTTCCCACAGGGCTCCAGCGGGGCCCCACAGACGAGCAGGATGCCCATCCCCATGAGTACCAAGAACAGACCTGGAACCCTGGACAAACCCGGCAAGCAGTCCAAACTGCAGGATCCCCGCCAATATCGTCAGGTAGTTTTACCTTAAACCCAATTTTGGATGGACACTGTTTCAGTTAAGAAGCAAGTCACTGACTTAGTTTATACCAAATATTGTGCTTTCTTTGTAAGATAACGGTTTACATAGACATCCTGGATCTGGGGGCATGAAGAAAGTCTAAAAAAGCCTTTGTTAAACTTTTTCACCACACTTTTGCATGCTTGCAATAAAACATCTTTTACTTTGTGACTCCAAACTCCAAAATTTTAACTGTTAACACACAATGCCAGACCAGGTGGCTTTTCTTTGGTGAATGTAATGTTTCATCAGAACACCTCGGGAAGCAGAGACAAACCAACCTGTGGTTGAACTGCCCTTAACGTCACCACTAACGTCTGTGTTGACTGTATTGCGTTAGAAGCACATTAACGCTCCATCACAAGGCCCGACCCCCACCCCAGTAATTATCCAGACGCATGGCCCACCTGGCACATGGGAAATGGTAGCACTGGAATGACGGAACTCCTCTCACAAATGCGTTCTTCCTTTCCTCCTTTTCTGTCCATCCTTTGCTTTGTACGTGGGGGGTTTCTACCAGGTCCAGTAGAGCACAACAAGACTTAGCTCAGGCCTTGAACTGTGTTTGGTTGGTTTTCTTTGATTGAATTGTTCTCAGAAGGGCTGTGTTGCCAGGCCCTGTGGGTTGATCATGTGACCACCTTTCTGACAAAATGTCTCCCGCCATCTTTATTTGCAGGCTAATGGAAGTGCTAAGAAATCTGGTGGGGACTTTAAGCCTACTTCCCCCTCCTTACCTGCTTCTAAGATTCCAGCCCTTTCTCCCAGCTCTGGGAAAAGCAGTTCTCTGCCCTCTTCTAGTGGTGACAGCTCTAACCTCCCCAATCCGCCTGCTACTAAACCATCGATTGCTTCTAACCCTCTCAGCCCCCAAACAGGACCACCTGCTCACTCAGCCTCCCTCATCCCTTCTGTCTCTAATGGCTCTTTGAAGTTTCAGAGCCTCACTCACACAGGTAAAGGTCACCATCTTTCATTCTCACTGCAGAGTCAAAACGGCCGAGCACCCCCTCCTCTGTCATTCTCCTCCTCCCCTCCTTCCCCTGCCTCCTCCGTCTCACTGACTCAAGGTGCCAAGGGCACCAGGACCATCCATGCTCCCAGCCTCACCAGCTACAAGGCACAGAACGGAAGTTCAAGCAAAGCCACCCCATCCACAGCAAAAGAAACCTCTTAAAGGTCAAATCCTGTTAGGCACAAGTCGGAGTTACATTAAAAAAATAAAATAACCATCTACAACAACTGTTTTCACAAGAGAATGTAACATATTGCTGTATCGTTTGAGGCTTAATGCTAAGTATGTGCTAAATACTGGATAAATAGATTTCAGCAAAGCTCGTTTGTTTTGTTTTTATCTAGTCGCTATAGTGTTAACTGTCTATACTCAATACCTATAAAATGCGGTAAGCATGTGTTACAAAAAGAGGTTGTGTTGGGAGAGAAAGGTGCGTGTGAGACAGAAGAATTGTCTTAAGCATATAAAACATGTATGATTCCAGAATTTTAGTATGTTTTGTATAAAACTATTTTTCATTACGGAGACTAGAAGTGAACAGAGAACTACACAAGTGTGACTATACAAATTGTAAAACAGATACTATAATATTTCCTTTTATTTTAGTGTTATTTAGCTTTATTACAGATTTCTATTTTTGTCAAAACTTCATGGTTCCTTTCAAGATCTTTTTTGCCAAAACATTTTGATACTGTAGCATTGTACATTTGAAAGTAGTGTGCTAGACTATAAAACCAATGAACTTCTACACAAGCCGTACAGACAGGCATGTGTAGAAGGCAATTTATCAAACCTATTGCACTGCCATGAAAAGTATGTATAATGATTTGCTAGCCCAAGCAAGCTAGTTTTCTTTGCTTGCTTCTTTTCTTTCTTTCTTCCTTCCTTTCTTTCTTCTTTCTTTTTTAACATATTGCGATTCTCTAGTTGTTTTCTTTGCAGTATCTAACCCCTTCTTTTGTTTTCTGAGACCTGGTAAGCCACGCTATTGCATTGTGGATTTTAAAATGTACACTTCTGTACGGTTCTGTAAACCGAAAAACTTTTGTAAATATATAAATAGACATTAAAATACTGTATGTGACAGCACATAGAGTAGTTTTCCCACACCAAAGTTAATTTTTATGCATGCTTTAAAAGTATATATTGGGACGGGCAGAAATGGACATATCCATACATTTTTAAAAAGCAACAAGTTTGCACAGCTAGAGTGTTTTTGTAAATAAATGTATTTGTATAACACAGTCATGTAATATACAGAACTATAAGCAGAGACTTTGCAAAACTAAATAAAGGGCTGCATGCTTATTTTTTGTACCTTGTCACTATAACTACTTCCTAGTCAGAACAAAATGTTACTGTTACCGAGTTTGTAACCACATCCACTCAGAGGACACTACTTTTCCGCAAGCTCTGGGGTGACTAATGATGAGTTCCTAATAAATTAATTGCAAGTGTGGTGCCTTGGATGTGACCTGTTGGCTCTCTCTCTTCTCTGTGGCTTATCAAGGTATGGATGACAGAAAGCAAACCTGGATACAGAGTTTCCACCCTCAGTTCCTGGAGGGGCTCTTATTATTTTCTGTCTCTTTTTTAAGAAAACATCCAGTAGAATTAAAGTGGAAATAAAATGTCTTTATCACTTGGCTTTTTTTTGAGTCCTTAACCTAAAAATATATTGTTGGCCTAGAGGGAAATATGCTAACATTACACCATATATTTTCATTTTTTAAAATGGGAAGAAGCAAGGCACAGTGTCTCATGTGTGTAATCTTAGCACTTTGGAAAGCTGAGGCAGGAGGATCACTTTTGAGGCCAGGAGTTCCAGACCAGCCGGGGCAATATAGTGAGACCCCATCCCTACAAAAAAAAAAAAAATTTAAAGTTAGGTAGGCATGGTGGTGTGTCCCTGTAGTTAGGAGGCTGAGGTGGGAGGATGGCTTGAGCTTGGGAGGTAGAGGCTGCAGTGAGCTATGATCACACCACTGTACTCCAGCCCAGGTGACAGACCAAGACCCTGTCTCAAAAAAAAAAAAAAAAAGGAAACTTAGTGAAAATAACACCAGGATTATAAATTAACCCCAGGAACAAGCTCAGGAAACTACTAGCATTTTTCACCTCCAAAATGTTTCATTTGGTGATTTGATGTAAAAAGCAAATATTCTTGGAACTCAATTTTTCAGTGTCCCTGAGTTTCAGGCTTAGTTATTTCAGGATGCCTTTACCAGAAATATTCATATCTCTGCTCATTATGTTAATGGCAGTCACGTGTTTCAGATAGCACTTAGGGAAGAATTGAGGGTCCAACATTTCAATCATGTCCTATAATCATCTTCATGACATTATATTTGTTTATATGTAAATATATCTCATAGCTAGCTACTTCATGCCAATTTATTTGCTTCTGTTTATGGACAAGCTGAAAATTCTTTATAAGCAGCAAAAGAGTAGATAGTGGGCTCACTTTTTCAGTGTAGCTTCTGACTTCCCAGAGCTCTGGCAAGGTCCCAGAGGTGATGGTAATTTCAGCCAATGTCATGAAGGATAGAACATTTCACCAGGTAAGGGAAGACTCCACACAGATCCATCCACTGCCCTAAGATCTGGCCCAGTGCTGCGTGCCTCTTCAGGAAACTGGAGGAGAAACTAGCAGAATTGGAGAAACCAAAGTCAGGTGTGCAAAGACTTCCTAACAGCACAGACCCAGAAGATGCCTGTCTAAATTAGTGCAATATAGCTGCTGCCTCGGTGCCCATTTTTAGGCCTGATCTAAGTTGTTTGAAACCCTGTTGTACCCCACCCTTTCTGGCCTCATTAAAACCTCCCCTCCCTTTGTGGTTGTTTGAAAAATACAGCCCAGGCTCCTTCCTCATCTCACCGACCGAAAACGCAACGTGTCCCACAGCTGCGGGCCCGTGGTAAAACCTGATGAGTAACAACAGAGTCGTGTTAATAAGTTTCCCCTGCTCACGTGTTTTCTTGAAACTAACCAATCCACAACCCCCATGGGAAAGCCTAAGGGGTAACGCCCCTAGACCCTGATAAAAGCATAGCCCCAGAAGCGCGGTGGTTCTCACAGGCTCCCCACCTGCTGGTTGAGCTCTGCTACCTCCAGACCTCCCATGGCTCCTACAGGTCCCCCTACCTTCTCCGGAATCTGTGAGTAAGAGATTTCTTCTGTTTCATGCATTTTGGTTTTACCTCCTCGCTGTGCTTTACCCGACCAACACATACAAGCCTAACTACACCCCACCCCGTCAGCGCTTCTCTAAAGAGGGGCTATCCCGGCTTATGGCCACTGTCGACAGGGAAACCTCAAGACCACATTAGAAAGAAACTGAAAAATGACAAAACGCCTTGGTTCTTTTAATATCTACAGTGGAAGACGTTAGGTAGGATGAGCTGAGCACTTGGGTTTTTAGAGCTTGTTAAGCTACATTTAACATACACCCTCAAGAGAGCCTCTCTCTCTCTTCCCCACCTCCCCACTTTCAAGACGCAAGGTCTTGCTCTGTCCCCCAGGCTGGAATGCAGTGGTACAACCACACCTCACTGCAGCCTCAAACTCCGGGGCCCAAGCTATCCTCTTGCCTCAGCCTCTGGAGTGGCTGGGATTATAAGCATGTACCATCACACCCACCTATCTTTTAAGTTCACCATTCACTTCATCCCTTCATCTAAAAAGATTCTTAGAAACAAACCATGCAGCCTCTTAGGTTCATTCAGCAATCTATCAGTCCATGCATCCAGCCCTCACTGAGCATCTTCTGCACACAGGGAGGGCGGGATGGGGAGGGCATGCGGCCATGACATTAGGGCTGCTTTCTGGTTGTGCCACCTTCGGCATGTTTTGGCTTCTCCACCTGTTCACAGAGAATAATAACAGAACCTACTAAAAAGATCATTGGGCCGATTAAATACGATGTTTACAGAATTCTGAAGACAGCCTAACATACGGAGCACTCAAAGGGCTGGGCGTGGTGGCTCATGCCTATAATCCCAGCACTTTGGGAGGCCGAGGCGGGTGGATCACCTGAGGTCAGGAGTTTGAGACCAGCCTGGCCAACATGGTGGAACTCGTCTCTACTGATAATATAAAAAAATTAGCCAAACATGGTGGCGCACACCTGTAATCCCAGCTAATTCAGGAGGCTGAGACAGGAGAATCGCTTAAACCTGGGAGGCGGAGGTTGCAGTGAGCTGAGATTGCGCTGCTGCACTCCAGCCTGGGCAACAAGTGAGACTCCATCTCAAAAACAAAAAAAAAGTTAATGAGGATACTTATTACTGCTGCAGTGACCAATGGGACAGTGTTCTGCATCAGTCTCATTGTGGAAAGCATGGCACACATACCAGGGAGATCAAGTCACAGTTGGTGCAGGCGTGGGACAACGAGCAGTCCAGGCAGGCGGCTGCAAAAGTGCAGAGCAGCAGGCTTGTCTGGTGCTTCACGGAGCTGGTGGCACCTGGTGCTGACGGGTAAAACACAGAACTTCTAACAGTGTTACAGCGTTCTTAAAGAAGCTGGTTTTCTTTTAATGATACTTGTGGCTAGATTTTTTTCCAAAGTAAAACAGACATTTACACAGATGGAGAAAAGCCCAGGCCCTGGGAATCATGGCTCAGAATTGTGGTTCCTTTTGTGAAGTTCCATTTGCAGTCTTGGGAGAATGTGCTCCCAGGTCACCCCAACCCAGATTCCCCAGATGATGCTCTTTCCTGGGTTTGAGTGCCAGGAGCAAGACCCATGGGTAAGGAGGACACATCCACTGGGTGTTGAGAGCTGAGAGCAGGTCTGGCCACTTCCCTCCCCCACCCAGGCCAGATTCAAAGATAACCCTGGCCTCTTCCCGAATCCCCGACCTTATAACTCTAGCTAACATCCTCCCACTCCAAAGCTCAGTAAATACAAAGGCATTCTGAAGCAACCAGGAAATTTTTTGGAGGAAGTAGCAGAATGACAACTGCTTCAACTGAAAATTCAAAAGGTAATTCTGCAAAAATAACCAGGTGACGTTGTCCAGGGAAACATACCCCGGCACCAGGCAACCACTCATTCCTTGGTCTATGCTCCTAAGGAGGTAATGTCCAAATGAATAAAGTGACCCCAAAAGCACCTCTGAGAACAGAATTCCAGACCCTCCCAGGGTGCATTCCCTTCTAGCTCCAAGTCAGGTGCCCACCTTAGAAGCAAATGTTCACCCTGATGGACCCGGAAAGGTTAAACTATGCTCACCACTCCCTGCCCAGAAGGCATGAGAGTTCACAATGCGTGCCTTCGATTTGCACAAAATGCTTACTGTTTTAATTGCCCAACCTATGGGGTGGTCCTTAATCTTTGTGAACACATCAGCAATAACTGCCATCTGTGGCCTATTATGGGCTACATATAATGCTAAGGTGTTTTGCATCTATTGCCTTTTAATCCTGACAAACAATGAAAAAGTTCCTGTCATTTTTCCCTTCCTGCTTCACTGTAGAATGCTAAGAACAAGGAAGGGGGGACAAGTGCAGGATGCACCTCTGGGCACTCAGCCATTCTGCTTGCCTTGGGGGCGGCTCAGGTTGCCCTTTTGAAAGAAGGTGGCTTTAAGGCGGCGGCGGCGGCGGCGGTGGTGGGGGGGGAGGGTTCATTCCTGGATCAAACAAGCACAATGCAGAAAATTATCCATTTATAGAATTATTATATTGCAAATTTTGGTTGCTTCACTTTTAAAAGATGCATAGGTAGAGGCGCCCTCCACTCAAAGGGCTAACGTTCTCATCTAGTATTACTGTTGGAAAGGAGGTAAATCTGGATTGGAACCTGGGATCCTGACTCCTCTTCCCCTAAGCACCAGGTGGTTAACTACAACTCTAGGGGCCTGGGCTGGGACTGCAGAAAAATGGCTTCACCTGCTAGAAAGGCCAAACCACAGACAAGCCAAGACCAGCCCAGGTCCTACCCATCTCAGGCCCCGCCTCCTCCCGGCCCTGCCACGCCCCCCCAGACAATGCCTCTTCCTGCTGCCCCAACTAAGCCACGCCTCACTCTTCTGGTCACGCCCCACCCAAGCCTCACCACGCCCCTCCAGGCAATGCCTCATCCTGCTCCAGCTAAGCCACACCCCACCCTTGTGGCCACGCCCCTCGAGGCTTCACCATGCCCCTCCCACTGGTGCCTTGGGGAACTTGAGCAGCTGGAAACCCGGAGTAAGCCGCCCCCAAGAGCCCCCTAAAAGGGTTTACTCGAAGTTGGGCTTCTCAGCAGGGACTTGTGAGTAGGCACCTCAGCTTCTCAGAGTGAACCTTTGAAACTCAAGGATAAAAGTCTCAAATCCAGTGGATCCAAGCCCCCTTTTAATTACAAATGTTTTGTACCAGATGAAATTCATTATGACATCTCCTACCTACTCACCTAGTTTCAAAAATGAAATGCAATGCCCTAGTGATACTATAACAAAACTGTCATTATATCCATATCCTGCACGCAGCCATCAGCAGAATTTAGTAACACGTTCAGAAATGAGTTGTACCAGGTACTCGAACACTGAACTGGGCTGGTAATGTGACTTTGCCCAAATAGCAAATGGCTCTCTGTTTAAATCTTTCAACAAAGCAGAATATGTTTCTCCCTCACTTTATATGTTCTTGAAAAATTTC